CTTTTGTTATTTAACTTCATTTACTTTATATCTTTTTCAATACCACCAGTTTATAATGTTAGAGGAAGTGAACGAAAAGCTAGTATCCCACTTGTAGATGGGCTTCTTGGCATATTATGATAGAATTATGAAACCTTCTGCCTGAATTTTTAAATTCTGAGACCTTTCAGAAATTTACCCGTTTGTATTGGTCCGCTGTTCAAGGTCTCAAGGAGTATGAGAGATTTGACTTACATATTATTTGGATCATCTAGAACACTTTTATTCCTGGATAGCACGTCACGTATCCGTACACATTATTTAACGGAGATACTATTTAAAGGAGATACTATTGAAGGAAGAATGGACATTATTTAACATTTACCGAATGCTGGTTGAATTCTAGTCTAGAGTTTTATTCTTGACATTTTAACGCTCCGAATTTATCCGTTTCGCGACGTTTAAAGTTTTATTTACGTGTCCATCAGTGGAGATATATTCATAATGTGTCAAGCAAGTTGTGCTAGATATCCGTGAACCAATGGACTATTCTTTGATATATATCATGAGATCCACGCATTCATAATACACATCACACATATATGATATATATCATATAATATATATTATATCGGTACATTTTCACGTGCAAGATAGGACACCTTACAGGATCTATAATTTCCAGATATATTCACATTGATTACACTCCCACATATTATATTGATGATATATTTATATGAGTATTGAGGACGGGTAGTTGGAGGTGGACTAGTCTAGGCTGCTAGTGGAGCAGTTAAATGGGGACTATTAGACCGAGGTGGGTTGCGTGACTTCATTTGACGCTCGGCATATAATATATTTCACTGTATAACTATTAATAGAACTATATAACCATAAATATACCTGTCAGTCTATGATTTTTACTGTCCATCTAGTCTTCTAGTTTCGATTTCAGTTTCACTCTATATATTCTAGTTTCACTTTCACTCTTGTATTTCCAGGAGGTTGTAGAGCTAGACGGCAAGGTTACCAAGGTGACGGACAGTATAGAGACTCTTCAGGAGATAATACACGGTCTGAAGGTAGAACTGGAACAGCTGAAGAGGGATCACTGCGCTATCATGCAGTATCTTCTACACCTTCCGGTATGAGCTGACTAGTACTGCTAACTTTCTCATTAGACGATAAAACGTTCAGTTTAAGTTTCAAATGTTTTAATGCTACGGCAGTGTGAGACAGTTTAAACCATTCATGATTCATTTTTTACCATTTTTTACAGCTGAGATATTTTTCATTCATCTCAATAACCACTGACCATTTCAGCAGTCTGCGACGCAAAAGCTGAATAGTTTCAGTTACTCGACACCAGGCTCCCAGAAGTTGCGGTCTTCAGTTCACCCTTACTGTTCTACTGCCTCCATGGAGAACTCCCCTGATGAGGTGAAATTAACGCACTTTACCGCATTTTTATCACCACACTTTTTTATTTCCACATTTGCACAAAAGAAGTTTGAATTGTATACAGCTTAACTGCTCTATCCACCAAAACCAATCTCGGATTTGTCATTTCAAATGTCAAGAGTAAATTGCTTTTTGAAGGCGGCACTGCCTTATAACCCATGAGATGCAATCCTCTTAGTCTTACAGCTTAAAAAAAGAATTCACATAAATTCCCGTTTATCTTTTTTGAGATTTTTCTTCCCCATATACATGTATATTGCGATTTCTAAGATTGTTTATCATTTTTAAGATTGTTTATCATGTGAAGCACGGTGGCCATTGCTAATTTTAAATATTTCAAACTGGTATTCAAGTTATGTAATATGTAGTTGTGATTGTGAATTGGGTATTAAAGCGTTATTCTTGCCGTTGTGGTGTCAAGCGATATTAATCCTCCCCTTGGTTAACGAGTCAGAATGAACGATTTACAATTGAGTCTACATATTGGAAGGATCAACTTAAAGGTGTCCTAATTCTGCAGTGGGGAAAGGATAGTCTATCCCTCGACCTTGTATCCTTTGACGTTGAAGAATGCGATCTGTAGAGTGATGTTTAAGATGTGGTTTAAGGATTCGTTGGGAGCTTAATGGTGGAATAAACATCTGTAAGATGAAAAGACATAAACACCGGTTTTAAATAGTTAGATTGTTTAGCAAGAGCTTAGAGCCGTATTATAGTTAGCTGATGCCGAGGAGTTGACTCGAACACCAGTATTTATTATTTTAATTAGGTTTAAAGTAAAACCCCGGCCTTCAAATTACTTCATTTGGCGATCTTATACTTTATGAACCGGACTCCGGAGCTAAGATCATGATCATATTTCATACAAACTTTACAAATGCGTCATTAGACTAACGACTTCCGGACTTCCTGTAGCAGGAGATGTGTTAACATGTGTTAACATGTGTTAACATGGTAGATAAGCCTTCGTAAAGTTCATTCGTAAAGTTCATTCCAACTCATGATAATAAACATATCTGTCATCCACTTTTAAAAGTTAGTTTTATCAGTTTATATAAAATCTATGGTTTTATCAAATAAACACGACTATTTAATTATAAATGGTTCCAATTAGAAAGTTTGGTAGCTGACGTACGATATTTCAGTTGGTGAACGCTATAGCTTTAGCAATCCAGAACCGAGGAGGGGGTGGGCCTCATCAGTCCCTCCTAGACGGCAACCGTACGGAGAAGTGCCCTACTGGGATCGCTACCAAGGGAACTGAATTCGACGATATTAGTAAGTTTTATCACATTTACATCAGTCTTCAGCCCACCTGTCTTGGCTAATAGTGTACATGTGCAAGCTCGGGCTGGGCAATAGAATCTTTGTAATGATCCGTGATCTCAAGTACCTATTGAGTGAAGGAATTGAAGGTGTGGTCGGTGATTGACGTTATATTACTCTGTAGCAAAGTGATTTCTGACGTGCTATTTGCGTTCAGCTATACCCGGGTTATCAATTTTTTTCTGGTTTATTCAAAGATTTTACCTTGAATTACTTCATACCAAAAATCATGACGTATTCGGTCACAAAGACTTAGTTAGGTAGATGCACTGCACTTAGGAAGCTAACTTCAAAGATTTTCTATAAATCCTTTAGTTCAATATGAAAAGTTTCTTAGGTTACTTATATTTAATTGAATAATATCTCACAGATACTAATACGCGCCCAACTGTTTGACACAAGACCTGCAGTTGCAGCCGCTCAATATTTTACTAGTTAGAAAACGAAACTCGAAAGCCTTAGCTTTGATTTGGGAAATCTCCGCTTTCGACGCCACCTTATTTGCCACATCTAATGAATCGCAAATTTATAAAAGTAAACCTAGCCGTCTATGTTCATGTTTCTGATTCTTATCATACCAAATTAGGAGATGAGTTTGAGGCGACATTACGACGCGACAGTATACACTTATCGTATAACCATGATTAGAGACCGCGGCGGTTTAGTTAAGTCGTAAGAATCCGCAAATCTTATATCTTATCAGATCGACATAAAGTCACTGGTTTAAGGAATATGATTGCTGTTTTACGTGGTATTTTACTGCCCCGACGTTATATTTCGATCACAAGAGGTCCAGGGCCGGGGTAAATAGTGGTAAAAATATCGGACCCAAGAGTGGCCCAACGCACAGAAGCTCCACAGAATATAGAAACTGTGTTCAAGAGTAAACTTGCCCTTAATAACTCTTGGGATAACCATTTCCTGTCATCCCAATATTCATCTACAATTTTTATCGATACTAACTACTAAGTCCTAACTAGATTTTAACTTTTTAATTTCATATATAAATATTGGTGCAATGTGTTCATTTAGGCAGAACTTGTAAGTATTACATAACTACATAACTTCTATACCAAATATTTCATTACCAAAAGCTGTTGAGCATAAATTAAAGATGCGACACGGACATCTTTAATCTTTAATACAGAACTGAAAATAATTATCATGATTAGATTTTATGATTGAGAAGCTGTACCGTAAATTGCTCGCAGAAATAGTCCATCTTTCCGAGTCCGAACCGGCGAACCTGGCAAGTGTTCCTGCGTATTATAACTACAAGTACTTACATTTCTTTTGCAATCACTTACCAGCCACCTAGGTTCCAGACTCCAGACTCTCATATCTGGTCTGTTGAAACTATATAAGTCACCGATCAGTCACTAATCAGTCACTATTTCAGTGCATTTCGGGGACGACATCTCAATTGCCAAGTCACAGTTGTACAGCATCATCACCAAGGCGAGGAACTGCGCTCACCCTCAAACAAAGCTCATCACCATGCTGGTTAAGAACCTGATCCCAGATTACGAGGGGAAGAGTTACACTCGCCTGGATCCTAGTCACACCAACATCCTGCGGAGTAAGTTGCTTGCGGAGTGAGCTGTTCAATCAATGAATGCACAAAGTAATCTGCTAGATCATGCTCCTTGAATAATTATTCCTTTTTCATACTGTAGCAAATTCGCCAAAATTGAAGTGAGCTTTCATGTACAACGAAACGGAAAGTTTCTAATTATTGAAATCGCAATTGCGTTCTCGGCGTATTAGATTGGGACTAGATTATAAAAACGCGATTAGCGGAAGAGAAGATAGGACTCTTTTTACAGCTCAACTGTACTTTTTTATTCACAATCCTCGATGTAAATATGTATCATGGATTATTTTACTAATTCAGATAACTGTTCAGGTTTATATTTCACTGTATTCCCGGTGGATGTTGATGACAATGTTGTAGATGACGATATGCGGGAGAGAATTAAGACACGTATTGAGGAGGAGATATGGCAGAAGCTCAAGGTTTGTCAATTTGCCGCTCTTTAATATCAGTCTGATGCAAGTTTAAAGTCGCTCAATGCCATGCCAGTTTAATGTGCTTTTAACACCTTTTATGCATATACAGTACAATATTCAGCTGATATATATATATAGTTTAATTGCTCAGTTTCAAGCTAGATAAGTATATAATATTCTTAGTTAAATTACTCAACTTCCATCCACCATATTAACCCAGGTAACAATAACGGATTGTTGTCGTAAAGCAAAGCCGAAGCCAGCAGTGCCAGCAAGTACCACCTACTACCCCACCCACGTACCTCTCCCCACCATCTCCGCCTCCGGGAGCCGGAGTCTTTCTCCCAACCTCACTCAGGCTATAAACTCTCACATCTTCAGGTAATTATATCCTGGTTATAATATCTTCATGTAGACTTTGCTCTTGTTGCGTTTTACCTGCACAAGTGCACATATTTAACACTTTAACAGAGATGTCAGGGTTAAGTTAAGAACAAAGTTAAAGTTTTAGACGTAAGTCTTCAGGACCTCTCCCAAGTCCTAACATACTAACTTACCTCGTGACCTCCCGTCCTGTCGAGACTGCTTGACATGACTCTAATAATACCAACAATTTAACTAACAGATGATATCATTTCAGCACACTGTCTCACCAGTCGTTCAATGCTGCCACAACCCTCGCCATGTCCAACCCCTCTGCTCTATCCATGGTTAACACCATCAAAACAGAGGGCAACCACCATTAGCACGTGTCTCACCTGATGTCCTTATTTGGTCATCCTCAGTGCGGTGTTGAACACAGAGTTGTACAACCCTGCTGCTGATTTTCTCAACTCACCGCTCCCCGATACAATCACGTGACCTTTGTTTCCCCCGCATGACGTCATTACAGACATCATGAACTTATCTTGATGACGTCATCATGACACGTGACGTCATTAATATGATGTTGTTTTGCCCGTCAAATAACCCGAAGGAATGAACGCAGGAATAAAAAGTAAACGGACTGGTGCCGGTTAGTTGCTGGTTCATTGCTGTGTTGTAGGGGAGATCAGACTTGAAAATCACTGCTGGGACAGCTGTCCCCAGTATCCGATAGGTGGGTTGGTTTTGGGTTTATCCGTAGGTCTAGATTTGGAAAATTAAACTCGGCTGATCGGCAGATGGGAACCAATCATCGATTTTTTAATCGTGTGACGTCATTTCTCCGCGTGACGTCATCAAATCTATTTTTCGTATGTATGGTTACCTACTGATTTTCAGATTATACACATCTTATTTCCGATCAGCCGGTGTGAATGAAGTCTCAGTGTGTATTATATGTGGCATAATTCTCATAAATTATGCAGATGATGGAGAGTATCACAATTAGTAATTCTCAGCCAATTACTTAATTAGTAATTCTCAGCCAATTACTTAATTAGTAATTCTCAGCCAATTACTCGATTACTCTTTTCTTATAATTCAGTGTCTCTCTAAATATACGTGTGCTCTATTGTTAATTATGTTTTTACTATTTTGATAGTGCTTAAAACTAGTTTATACTCGACACTAAACTCTGCTAAACCTTAATGTTAAGTGTTTCTGATGTAAAAGGGGGCTGCGCTAAGAATTATCCTTTACGAGGTGCAATTAATCTACTAATTACGTAACTATAGATTAGGTTAGGTTTGTTTTGGACTAAAATAATTAAAATATATCTTCTAAAATATCTTAAATAATTTTTTTTCTTGTTTCTAGGTAACTGTTAAAATGAAGACAGTGTTTTAGTTTGTAAAAATTATACGATCCTGTTTTCAAACGCTTGCTCGAGAAGCGGGATTCTTGTTAATAAGATTAATGATTGTATTTCAATAAATTCTTGATAATATAATATATTTTGAAAAATTGTGTTTAAGTAAAATTGTCAGAATTTGAGCGTTGTGAATTGTCAGAATTATAAATTATTTATTGTTTAATTTATGTGTATCTCGCAAAATTATTGATTGTATTATAGATTTCGATGGAGTATATATAATCCGATATTGCTATTATATTTTTGATAGACTTTAAAATAACCAATTTATTAGGTGGGAAGGCGTATACAGTCCCTTCAAAGCATTTCAAATTTTCCTACTCAACATTGTTTGATAGGAAAAATAAACCGAACAACGCGATATTTTCCGTGCAACAAAAATGTACTAAATTTTGTCAGGGACTGTAAAATCCTACTTCAGTTATCTCAAACTGCAAATATATTTGCAAAACAAAATCTAGCCGAATGATCTCTCTTTTTATCATATTATAATGTATATTGTATGATTTTATAGGCATCTTTAAAATTGTTAATTCTCTCATTTTTACAGCAGTTCTTACTTAACTAAAACGCATGCTTCTTTTTAGCTACTAAAATTTGCTAAGATTTTTATGGGTTATAAATTCAGCTTATGTATAATATTGTGCGTGTCTCGAGTTTTAGTTATTTTTCGTATTGAATAAAACGATTTACTAAACATCCTTTACCTTTATGTATACTTATTACTTATTAAAACCTATCGATACTTTATATCAATTGTGATCAAGTTTATTCTTAAGCGTAAACCTAATACGATATAGTAGAACTTAAGCACTAAAGTGATTTAGTCTATTCTGTAAAATGTGGACTCTATTGAAAGATCTCGTGTGAATTGTAGTACTATATGTTTTAAATTGGAAGTTGATATTATCATTGTAGTCTCATATTTTCGAATCAGGCTATTTGTTCTCAGTTTTTTATTGAGGAACCCCATCTTTCACATTTGCTGGTTGTTTAATAACAGAAGAAGGGATCTCCAGATGTGTGCGGATATAATTAATGTGTTAAGTGGTATAATATTATAATTATGTATGATATGCACACTTTGTTGTGGCTGTCAGCGGAATTGCAAAAATTTACGGTGTTTATTAGAATTTTTCATTTGCACAATCACGCCTGGTGAAGACACTGTCACGGCCTGATGAAGCCACTGTCACACTCATTAACGGTGTCATACTGGTCAAGTTGTCACGGTAATGCTACGCTTTAAGTAGCCTTATCTTTTACTTGTTTATTCGAGATAATGATATAATCTGTTAAATCCGGAGGAAAAGTCATGATGAACACACTGATCTATTACTTAATAAAAGTAAGGGAACTAGGTGCGATTTAGCACCCTCAATATGGTCTTATTGCACTGATGACCGTTCTATAAGATACAAGGAAGAATGAACGCCCCATGATTACATTTACAGTTTATAAGCGGGCCCTTTGTGCGTTATGTAAATATGGTGAGGAACAGTTTCAAGTCCGACCACTTATTTAAATCAGACAGGGGCGTGTGAAGATATTGTGCTGTGTAGAAAGTCGAAACGTGCGCTACAGAATATAATTTGAAATATCGAACGTGAAAGTGAAACTGCAAGAAATTGTGTTATGGTTGCCAAAATCTGGAGAATTTCGTCGCATAGATCGCTTTAAATCAAATAAGCCGTAGTTCAGGTGTTTTCCTGGAAACCAGTGTCCAGTACTATCACAGAACTAGAAATAGGTGAAAGGTGAGAGGTGACCTTCCTCCGTGAGATGTGTGTGTGAGAGAGTGGTGATGCAGTCACTGCACGTGCAGAATTCAGCAGAATATAATTGTAACCCATTTTTATGTCCTTACTCTGGGTAAGGAGTGTGTTGTACGTGTCGGTACAGTGGAATAACAGAAACAGCACCCACAAGCCAGTACCCACTCCAGTGAACTAGTGTGATAATTTCCGGTGGTAAGTTGAGAGTTGCAGAATTTATATCACTCAAACTTGGATAACTGTGAGATAAAATTACTTAAAAAGGGCCTTCCTTCGACCTACAACATTAAAAACATCGGTACTCCTAGATCATGAATGTTTTTCCTCCCGACGTTTACACTATTTTCCTGTTAATGATCGCAAAATAGTTATGTTCCCTTTAGCGATCCTGTGTGTTAAATATTACATGTCTTACTAAACCACATACCTAAAATAGTTGTACAGAACAGCCGGCCGGTCATCAAAAATTGCTCAAAAAGAAGAAGTTCCAAACTTAATTTAAGATTCATTTCTTACTACGATTATTCTATTTTTTGTTACCTAAAAAACACTTTTAAAGAGCAATTTTTGGGGGATCGGTGCTAAATACAGTTGCTATCTTGAAGTTTTTAAAAGTTTAGTGTAAATTACTAAAATACCTTTATACATTTTGTTTCTTCCTAAAACCCGTCTTAGAGTACTACCTTTGTGATTACAGTCCAATATAAGAAGCATATATTATGTACTGGTGTGTTCTTGTAGAGCTCCCAACTCTCAACGGCTCAATTTATCATCTGAGGTTTTCCTTCCCCGTGTGCAATTTTTCACTCTTATAAAGATCGATTTAGAGAAGAAAACCTAGGATGGAGATTTGGCCGCAAAACTGTGCCTCCGTTTAGAATTTCTTGATTCTATAAAATTCAAATCATTATCATTCCTTGGTCTCTATAACCAATAAGCATACTTTTTTACTCCAAAAAAGTAAAACAAAGATAAACGAAGGCTCTGTTTAAATGTTTTGTTATCAATCAAGATGCTATTTTTCAAAATGGAAGAGTATTGTGATGAAGCAAGGATGGCGGTTGCTATTATATTTGAAAATGTAAAATCCCGTGTCTTTTGTAAAATATTTCAAATATTATGATGATCTTCCTTTTCTCAGCTGAAAAAATTCTTGGGAAACTTCACGAATTATATGTGATGATTTGGCAAAAATGTATAATCCACAAATTATCCTAAAATTGCAGAAATTGTAATTTTAGTTGTAGCAACTCCCATTAGACACGGGCATCGTAAAATTATATTTAAATTTCTAAATCTTTTAGTTTTAATCGTGGGTAGAATGCAAGGGTTACCAATTCTTTTATTTAATGAGAGCTTAAAAGAAGAAAGCCAGAGGCTGTTACAAATGTTGTCTCCCTCGATATCATCGTGTAATGACACTGGCCAATATTCGTCATTCTGAATGGTGATCGTGTTTTTAGGTCTAATATTTATCTGATTAAGATTTATGTTTTTGGACCTAGTAATTCAGTCTCTCGGCTTTCTTGATATATTGAAGAAAAAATGTTTAATTTCTGTTTATCAATTGTAAAAACAGCTTCGCTGTGTTAGGATGAGTTTCACTGCTTTCATACCTTTTTGATCCACCAGACAAACAAAAACTCTCACTCTCCACTAGTCAGTGTGCTTTTTGATCCTCAATTTATTCAGAAATCCCTTTTTCCCGGCACGCTTTGTAGGTCCATCTGTATTAAATCTCTTTGAAATGAGAGTTTGACCTGCTCACCACTCCTTGTGTCTCTGGTACCTCGCATTATCTTGCGAGGACGGGGCTATTGTTATATTTCCATTCTCCGACCTATGATATCACACTGTTCCCCACTGACATCATTGTTGTGTCCGTGACCAGTACATCTGGACTCACTCACTAACCCCTCGCCGTCCTGGACACACAAACACCGCTATTGTCCCTCTGTTCAGTAATTCCACGCTGGGGGAGGCGACCCTTTCATTGGACAATCAGCCGGCTACATTTCCAAATCTCATATATAAAGATATGACGGTGCTTCTGCGCCCGATAGTGTACCTGCATGGTGATAATTAAATAATGGGTACGACTGTAATTTAAGAGTGTAGTCTACACTCTACACTCTACACTATGAGCACGTACACGTGTAAACTTGATTGGTCCTTTATACATAAGACTTTGACTCTCACAATCACTATGGAATTTAATCCTGTTTCATGTTATTTTCATGAGTAAAGTTTTTGGATTGTGGTTAGAATGATCATCCACTAAATATGGAAAACAATCAAATTCTCATTGCATGGTATCATTTCATGATTGAGTATTTTATACGAATGGTACATTAGCCGTTCCAATATCTCCTCAAATAATGCGCAATTCCCTTTCTTAATCATTAATATTCATTAGTGAAGGACCAGATATCAAGATGGTAATGATAGATCAAGAGAAGCTCCTTAAGATGCAGCAGCACGTACGAACTGGAGGTAACAGTCAGACTGTAATGTTGATATATTTAATGTAATGTTGATACAGGGTGGCCCAAAAGTAACTAGTACTACCCACACGCAACCCTTTAGTAACTCACGTAATTGGTATCAGAATTGCTTTAAAATTTCAGAGGATTAAAGAGGATGTGGCACACCACTCCCTCTTTTTCTATTTCGTCACCATAAAGTGAGAACGGTTTGAGTTAGGAACTCCAAAATTTCCAGACACATTTGGTTTGATAATTGAAGTGCTTTCCCAAAATTTCAAGTTGGTTGTTTACAACTAAGCCGAGTTATGGCCATTTTAAGATCTGGCGGATACATGATCCTGGCACTTAATCTGTTATTTCTTTACTCAAATTAATGGTCTGATTGGTAGGAACCTGCTCATAGGACAGCAACCGAAGCGCTATAAATTGAATTTTGATTTTAAGGAATGTCATAATTAGTATTCACTTAATAAAGTGATCAGATCGTCATCCCCCAACATGCTCGGTACCGCCTAATGAGGCTCATTGTTGCTCGCTAGTGAATAGCTCCCAATGCAATGGGTTTACTGATTGGGTGACGAAATCACAGATTAAGTGCCGAGATCACGTATCCGAAAGATCTTAAAAGGGTCATAACTCGGCTTAGTTGTAAACAACCAACTTGAAATTTTAGGAAAACACTTCAATTATCAAACCAAATGTGTCTGAAAATGTTGGAGTTCCTAACTCAGGGTTACTTTTGGGCCACCCTGTATTTCTTAATTAATGTTTTTAAGCTAGGTAATATTTATCTTAATATATTGTGGGCATTTATAAACGCCCGGGCTTAAGTGGAAGAGGAGTTATTCTAAAATTGGGCTGATATGAGTTTTAGATTCACGATCTAAAAGATAAGAATCTCTGGTGTTAGCTAAAAACTACTCACCACGGTCCATAATCTCCCAACTTGACGAGCATTGATCTAATTAAAAGGATTGGGCTATGTTGTTTGCTATGTTGTTTGCGTGTGTGGCCTGCACTGGTTCGGGACAGTTTTTAGTTAGCTAATTAAACCATGGGTCTCTTAAACTCTTTTTCAAAGGTATTATCGGTTGAGTTTGTATGGCATTTGATTGAAATCAGAAAAATGTTCGCCAAAAACAACACAGATAGGACTCACAACATCTGATTTGGTTTACTTCCAAGACTATCTAAAATCAGGGCCTGGTTCATGGCGTTTACCTCTAAATACTATTCTCTCCCAGGTAAGGGTACAGTAAGAAGGAAGAAGAAAGTTATTCACAAGAGTGTGGGTACAGACGACAAGAAACTGCAGACTAGTCTTAAGAAACTTCAAGTCAGCAATATCCCCGGTATCGAAGAGGTACGTGCAAAGCGAAGTATAGTCCACTGTGGGTAAAGAGCTAGTAGTGTTTTAGCGGTCTGTCATTGAACCTTTTGTGTGATTCGGGGCTTTTGATTTGGTGGAGTTAGAATACTTTCATGTAAGGATACTTTCATGATCCATGTAGCAGTTTTTAAAAAACAATTCCCCGGCTGCGTTGTTTCAAACATTTAACATTTCAGGTTAACATAATCAAAGAAGATGGAAATGTGATCCATTTTAGTAACCCTAAGGTTCAAGCAACAGTACAAGCGAACACATTCGCAATTTCTGGAAACGCAGAAACAAAGCCAATCTCAGACCTCTTGCCAGGTATGTCCCCGTCCCAACTTCACACATTATTCACCTTTACCAGATTCCGATAATTAATAACCCCCCCCCCCCCCCCCTTTCTCCCTCCGTGAATTATTTTACAAATAGCCAGTGTGTAGGAATTACACTAGAGCTTTCCCGAACCCACTCTCCCATATGCTTGTATTTGCCATCCTTGCTCCAAGAATAGAATATGTGGCAAATGTAACCATTATATAATATTTAATGTGGCTTTCCAAACCTCCTTTGTACTGCAAAAACAATGTTATTTGCCATTTCAATTTCTGATTCCACAAATCATAAAACATTAGGTTTGTGGCAGCATGGTATATTTGGAGCAATTTAAGGTATAATTTATGGTACCTACCCACTCAGGTATAATTCAGCACCTAGTGGGACTGTCCAGCTCACTGCCAAAGCAGATGAAACATGACTCAATACCTGAGGGTGACGAGGACGATGTCCCTGCTCTGGTGGAAGATTTCGATGAAGCATCTAGGACCGAGGGAATGTAATGTGATGACGTCACGTGATCTGATGACGTCACATTCTTGAGGTGTGACGTCTCGTTGTGACGGGTCCGTGAGGGCGAGTGACGTCACGTTCATGTCGTTATGGAAACGTTTTTCCGATTTACAAGTTTATGGGTTTACGTTACATATTGTGATAGAGAAGGTCTTATGAGTTTTTTTCCCTGAAAGATAGCAGAAGCCAAATTTAAGGCTACATTTTGGGGCTTAATGAGTTTATTTGTTACTGGAGTTTTTATTAAGTTTATGGTTTTTATGATAAGAAGCATCCTACTATTTTGGGTGAAAAATAAAACATCATCTCATCTGCCCGTTTCTATCATGGAAGTGACCAGATATTTGAGATATTTTTCGTGTTTTATCCAAACAAGCAACTGTACGTTTTTATTTGATATTTGTAACTCACGGTTTTGTAGAGTTTTGTATCCATCTTTTCTACGATCTAAATTTAATAGGCACATTAAATAATTCGAATGTACTTCGAAGAAATATCTCCCGATTTGTAATAGGATGATTTTTCCTGCCATTTTGTATTTCCCGAGGAATCTGATATTTACTTAACATGTTCATCGTTTTTGATCAGAATGTGTTGATGATCAATGATGATGTGATATTATCGTAGGAGCTTGATAGTAAACAACATGTTAAGTTTAAAGATCTATGATTATGAATGTAAGGAAAGCGCTTGGCTAAGAATTTCAATGGATTGGTTTGTTACAGTGATAAGATCTAAACGCTGAAACTATTTATTCGCTTATTAAAATATTCCTTTCTTTGTCTTCGTCAATAACATGCTCCGATCTCAAAGTTAGATCACAGATAATTCGAAATGACGTGTATTAACTAAATTGAAAATCAATATGACAAATCACTATAACACTGGACCCGACGGACTATTTAAAACCTCTACCCTAGTCCCTAAGGGGTCGTTCACATATTATTACGTAATCAGCTGAGGGGGGGTTCCGAATGATTACGCTAGTGTAATTTTGACACAATAGCTGTGTGTAAAACTGATTACGGAGGGGGTGGGGGGTAAAAATGATTACGTAATATGTGAACGACCAATCCAACTGAGGTATCTGATACATGATAGAACCCTGACGTCACACCTTGAAAAACAGTTTCTCGCGGCATCTCGTCGAAGACAGCATGACAGTGCGCGAAGCGACAACGTATATAGTTAATATAAATATATATAGTTGAACGTGATATGCAGTTGATTGTTATGCTTTCCTATTGAAACACTAACAGAGGAGAGGAGCCTGTTAAATATGCTACATTTTGCATTGATTCACGATTTTGGAGGGCTTCGACGCGCCGCGCAAACTAGCATTCTTGCTTCACATCGACGATCTCGATGGGTTGACATCGTCAATCAAATTCACAATGCTTGGAGGACTTCAACGCGCCGCGCAAAGTAGCATTCTTGCTTTGACGATTTAAACTAACATTTTTACCTAATACCTGGGAACCCCAGGCTATCATATTTATGTTCATAATCAATAATCATAGCGATTCGGCAGAATGACAGGCGCGGCTGAGCGCCGCCCATTGATTGACGATGTCAACCCATCGAGATCGTTGCTCTGCGAAGCAATGATCGATGCGAAGCAAGAATGCTAGTTTGCGCGGCGAAGTCCTCCAAGTCCAACGCCGCCCAGTAATAGCATTCTTGTTTCGACGATCGTTGCTTTGATTGACGATGTCAATCCGTCGAGATCGTTGCTCTGCTTGCAGAGCAACGATTTTGATGGGTTGACATCGTCAATCAATCACGATGCCAACCCTATCAAGCTTCACCTAACCATGTGCTTTCGCGCCACTTCAGGCGCGCTTGTTTCACAAGTCAAGTTTTTACCGCTGTGAGGCGGGCACGCGCTACTGCAAGCGCAAGGGCTCTGGATAGAGCAACTATCAAGCTAATTAAATTGTAACATCACCTTTGACAGATGTTTCACCTTGACCATTGTAAATGATTTGACCCGGCGCGCGCTACTTCGTAGCACTTACCGTCAGGCCATTTCGAGAAGAAAGCGGCGCGCGCTACTTCGAAGAAATTTAGACGAGTAACATCCGTCAATGTTTCACCTAACCATGTGCTTTCGCGCCACTTCGGGCGCGCTTGTTTCACCGCCGTGAGGCGGGCGCGCGCTACTGCAAGCGAAAGGGCTCTGGATAGAGCAAACAGATGTTACTGTACTTTAAAGAGTGCGAGTGACACTTTTAAAATATGTGTTCCTAGACCGTCGACGCGACGAGTCCAACTCGGCGCGCTTCTTGAAAGGTTATACTTATAAACATATACATGTTCAATGTTACTGATACGCGTCTAAATTTCTACAAAGTAGCACGCGCTGGTTTCTAATTCTCGAAATAATAGCTCGAGGTCAAGGTAAAGGCAAGTGTTGTAGCGCAATGCGTTATTGTACCGCGCCGCGCACTCAATGAGGCTTCTCACAGCAAGATCGTTGACATACGTTGCATGCCACTTTTCGCGCGCGAAGCGCGCGCCGCCGAAGGCGGAAAAAGGGGCATACCATGAAGGGAATCGGACTTTTTAGAGGGACGCATATTCTGCGTCCCTATTATCCTATTTGACCAAATATGAGAGTAATTGACTGAGATGGCGCGCGCGCGCCACCAAAACAGTTAAATGCATTGTTTTTAACCAAGTTGCAATATTTGTGAGGCGCCGAAGGCGGAAAAATAATATCTCTGATATTTGGATACGAAACATGTATCAACAAGATCGGCGAAATACGCTACTGTGCCTCGCCGAGCTGCGATGAATTGACATCGTCAATTAAGGGCAAGTGCTACGGAATAGCGAGCGCCGGGTTGACGGATGTTACTCGTCTAAATTTCAAATTTCTTCGAAGTAGCGCGCGCCGCTTGCTTCTCGAAATGTAAGCCCGATGGCACGTGCTACGAAGTAGCGCGCGCCAAGCCAGACCATTAACAATGGTCAAGCATTGCAATGCAGTAACTTATTTCAAACTTCGCATAACCATTAACCAAAGCGCATTTAAAAGATTTTCGATTTCATTTTTGATTTTAAACTTTCATTTTGACAAAGTATAGGTACAGTATGCCATCTGAAAGCAACAACTCTCAAATATAACACGGCGGAGGTATAAGACCCAACATATGGGTACTAACTTTTGGCCCACCCTGTCACCTGTATTTTTGGACGCTGATCCCGAATTGGAGGACTTCGACGCGCCGCGCAAATTAGCATTCTTGCTTTGCATCGACAAGATCGTTGCTCTGCTGGCTGCATGCAGAGCAACGATCTGAAAGGGTTGAAATCGTCAATCAAATCCTGAATTACCTCCCATGACATAGAGTTAAAATGCGCCCCTGACGAGATATTGGCGAAAAACTGTCTCGATCACGTGATATGACCGGCCGTATAAGGAAGTTAATCTAATTTCTCGTTAGGGTTAGGGTTTCAGCATATGCTTTTGTTAAGGATTGGGTTAGGGTTAGTATATAGGATTGGGATCAGATTAGAGGGTTAGGGTTTCAAATAGTCGTAATTCATGCAGCTAGAGAACGCAGAACGGGTTGAAAAAGTCACGTGGCAGTTGACAGTTGAGTGTAGAGTGATTAATCATCATCCAAAATTATCTCGAATTTTAATATATGTAATAAAATGTTTTAATGATCTCAATGAGAAGAATGGCAAGAATATTTTAGCGTTTGCTGAAATCCCAAATTAATGATCGTTAAGAAATTCTACTCTAGTTTCCACACCACTTAAACAGAATATCCAAAGACTACGTTGCACCGTGTGTACATATTCCCAGTATTAGTCCTGATAGTAATAAAAATGTACTCGAGTTTACTCTATATCATATATATGTATTATGCGGAACGGAGATAAAAGCTTAATAAAATTAAGTGTACCAACCTAATAATAATAATTTGCTGCCTAAACCAAAACCAAAACCTATAAATAATTATATATTACGTTCTTATTTCCATCAGAGGAGAAGCATATTATTTCACCTAACATACCTCGTGTACTGATCAGGAGACCCACGTTACACACATTCTCTCACCGCACATACCTCGTGTACTGATCAGGAGACCCACGTTACACACATTCTCTCACCGCACATCATCTAATTCCTTGTAAGAAGAGCCGTAATGAGTAGTGACATAGCTAGTAGCTAGTAGCTACACACATAACTATATTGCATAATATTGCATAATATCATTATTTCGTTGTTGTACTTGTCTTGATGTACATGATATTTTATGTTTATTTATAGAGTGTTGGTGTGTTGTTTAAATTTAAATACGGTAAGTTTGGGATAACATTGGCTTAACATCAAAACTGACTTTTAAGTCCCTTAACCGACAGTTTGAAAACACGTTATACACCTCAGGAGCAACAGACTATCACATGTGTATCATTTGGGAATTGTGTCGGACATTAATTTACTTTGCTAATTAGAAATTTTTTGCAGGTCGGCGTCTTGTTTTGGTCTTTACAAAGAACAATAGCATCACTGGAAAAGGCAAGATATGGGAAAGAAAAGGAAACAGAAAGGGAGAGCTCCCATTGATGACGGTATACTACAAATTGCAAAAGATAGATTTCAAGACAGGCATGAGGCATGATTATAAAAATAACTTTTCAAAACAAACATTTTGTTAAATTACTCCAAATATAACTTAGCAGCAAGTTTTATTAGAGTTTGTTTTCAGCGATGAACACAATTGAGGACTACAAAGTAAAAGGAAAAGAAATAATTGAGAAGCACTGCACATTCAAAGATAAAGCGATAATGTTGCCTCCTGCGCCCAAACAGACATACATAGATGTCTACCGAGACGAAGAAGTTGGATCGAGCAGTCAGTTTGAGGGAGAAAAGCGTCTCCAGGTAAACTACGAGGCTGAAGTTAGAGTGTATCGTGTTTTGGAGGAGTTGCCGGAGGGGGTCACAGTTCTCCATGGGTTTGAGTACACCCATCATCAGTATCGACTGTGCGATAAAACCCATGACAGAAGAAGCTGTGGTAAATGCAAAGGAAAAGCATCTGATAAATCGGAATGCGACTTTGTAGTTGTCGGCAAGAACTATGTTGTGATTATTGAGGTGAAAAACATCCCCCAAACAACTGGAGGAGTAACGGAAGAGAAGAGGAAGGAGCTACAGGGAACATTTAAAAACTCACTTAAACAACGAGAGAGAACAGAGTGTTTGGTAAAGGGTCTTGTGGACCAAGTGGTTGATGGAGTAAGCAAAGAACAGTGCAAAATATGTAAGCCGTGATTATTTGATCTATATTATTTGATAGATTTTAGATAGTATTGTGTAATAAGGCAAGTATTGTGTAATAAGGCAGTATTGTGTAATAAGGCAGTGGAAGTGGAACATCCAGTTCTGGTCTGTGGTTAGGGAAAGTTATAGAAAGAGAATACAATGGAGATTGTGGGTTGGACCTCACCTGGACGGACGAGAAACATGTCACTCTGGAGGAGAGACAATGGTTCTAGGAGAACTCAGACGTAAAGCCTTTGTGTAGATAGAGAGTCAAAGATAGATGTGAGTTCTAAACAAACTATGGATTCAGAGGTCATCAGACAGGAAGCTTTGGTAAAAAGATGAATAGTCGTAACACCTGGACTCGGGACAATGAAGCTTTAGTGGGAGATAAGACCAGCTGCCAAAGGTGTGAGCAGGGGCACGTGAGTCTGGTTAGAGAGGTCGGGTGAAAAACCACGGACAGGACATTATATAAGGTCCGGT